CCTGAACTCCTCTCCTTCTTGTGCCTGGTGGTTTCTCCTCAGCACCCACTCTGTGCCAAAACATTCTTGGGCCTGTGGCTTTTCTCACCTGCCTGTCTCTCCTTGCCAGCCCTCTCCTGGGTCATTGCCTTCTCGTTAGGGAACCCTTCCTGGTTTTGGTACCTCTCTAAACTTCTGGCTCACTCCCTGCCTCAGGATAGCTGTTCTCCAGGCTACCTTTTGGTCCCTGGATCCATTTTTTACAGGTGATTGCTCCTCACTGACAGTTGTCACAGTTTGCAAGGCTGTATGATGCATGCTTTAGGTGGCTGAATAAGGAATCTGAATGCAGAAACCAGCACTCACCACATAAAAACCTCACTTAATGGACCACTATCCAGCTATTCCCACTTCTAGATGTTGTGAAATCTAGGCTGGTATCATAGTCATGAATGGTAGGAGCTGTGTCATTGCCATGCTTTCACAGCTCAGAAAAGGGTATTCATACATATCGGACCCAGTCATCCTCCAAGATTTTACATATTTGCATAATTACATTTATTTAGAGACAGTATTTCCTGCATCACAGCCTGACCCCAAACTCTCTATGTAGCTTAGGGTGACCTCGAACTTCTGTTCCTTCAAAATCCCATGAGACCTGGGATTACAGGCATTTGCCACTAACCTTGATGCATGTGATCCTTAGTATTCTACCCATGGCTGCTTGTATGCTTAGCAACCAGCACCAGATGTTGTTTTTTTTGTTCTTTTGAAGTGTCCCATGTTCCCAGGATGGAATTCTACTCATCTTTCATCCCCGTGAAAAGTCTATGAAGTATCCTTTCATCTTCAATGGTAAATCTGCTGAGCTCATGTCTGGAAAATGAAAACCCTACATTTAATTAGAAGTTCCTATTCTCACTACATGTCTGTCTAAGAGACTACACATTGCTATTGTAAACCTAGACAACTAACATTTGCTGGAGTGGTCATGGAGTAGAGAGTAGAAGAAAACTACTACTTCCATTTTCTTAAACCAATGTAATATCTAACTCTATGCCAAATGTGTATCCTTATACCCACAGAGAAGTATGGCAGTTGAAACTCATCACAGTACCTTCCTTTTGATATAGCAGACTATTACAGAGAACCACAACTGGTCAAAATACAGAGAAGTAACTATGCCATGCTAAATCTAAACTGATGAAGGTGCAATTGTGTCATTTTGGGGACAGGTTAGCTCTGTGTCTCGATAATGTGGTTACAAAATCAAGACAAATATGAAAACAGCAGTTCACACGCAAATACAGGTAGGGTCAATTCCACATGTAACACCACCAGAAGTGGTACAGTTTATCAATACCTTGAGAAAGGAAGAATCAGTATCCTCGAGAGACAAGCTCCCACTTAGTTTGTTCAGTTCCCAGTGGTCTGCTCTAAACAGCCATACAAATGAACAAAGATAAATGTACTCACTAGGTTAGAAATGCATGTGTCCATGTATGATTACAAAACCACACATATGTGTACATTTAACTTATTAAAGTGTTTATGTTTGGGGGTTACATGGGATAAGCTGAGGTACAGGAGGGCAGTAAGGTGGAAGGAGAGATTAAAGGCAGTGTAGGGATCGGGGAAGTTCCAAATACTGAATCGTCAAATAATATATACACAAACACAGGGGCGAAAGAGGGGAAGGGAGAAGAAGAGGGATAGGGAGAGCAAGAGGATGTAGAAACAGAAGAGCCTGAGGGCAAGAGAGAGAAAGGTGGGTGTTGGGTCCAGTAGGTGTCCCTTCACCAATAGTCAAAGCCTCCACCCTATACACTCACAGAAGATCATGATATCAGGTCCTTATACATTTCCTATTCCCCAACAACCAAATCCCTCTGCACAGGGCTAGGTGTCATGTCCTCCAAGATGTCCACAGCCTTACAGCCACAACCTCTTCATGCAGAGTTTTGAGGCAAGTACTGCTCAGAATCCCTTCTTCTATAGCCACTGACACACATATACACATACACACATGGGACATGAAATAGACACAGACACACATATACATATACACATGGGAAGTGACAGGTTGTGTGATGTTAAACTAGCTAACAACTGAAGTGTCTACACACACACACACACACACACACACACACACCACAAGGCTGGTTTTCTTGTCTTCTTGTCTTGACAAGTACATCTATGAAAATTCTTTCTCTGTGTCTCTCTGTGTCTCTTTGTGTCTCTGTCTCTGTCTCTGTCTCTATTACAGGTTTGCTTTCCTTCCATTCAACCAAAGTCCCCTTCTGGCAACCAAATGCAGATCCTACCAGCTGCCCTTCTTTTGTAACTAAAACCCTCACACAATACATTGCTGTGTCTTTTTCTTCCAGGTATTTTCTCTTGCACAGCCAAAGGCCCACATATAGCAGGATTCAGCTCCTGCTAATTAACCCCTAACCTAGAGATGGAAGTAGCAATAACTACAAGCCAGGTATCAGTCCTTCTATGTAGCCTCTTCCCTATAGTAAATGCTTCCAATATAAAGATAGGTGTCTGCCTAAGACTGAACCTGGGCCCCTGAATGTGGGTGTCAGTGGAGAGGATTGGACAGTCTATGGTTCTCCTGGTCCTGTACCCAGGATTTATCCCTAGTGCATGAATGGGCTTTGTGGGCTCATTAGATATGGAGGGGTACACTTTTGTACAATTATTTTGATAATTTTCCCTTGTCCAGTTACTCCCATACCCTCCTTCCCTCCCTACACATTTAGTGTTATGGTCTTTCTCTCTTTCTATTATAAAATAAAACACAAACCAAAATAAAACCCACAGAAAGCAATAAATATCTATAAAATGTCTCCCAAAAGGAAAATGAGCCAAAATGTCTACAACATTTCTATTGAACTGATATATGTGTTTGCCAATGATTACCCTACATGTGTCCTATCAAGAGAAATGGTTAAGATACCAAGTGAGAATTAATTGGAGGAAACAAATTCTTCAATTCTTCATTTGCCATCAGGAAACAATTGCAGATGTGTCCTTGGTTAATCATGGAAACCTGTTTCTATTTCCCCTTTAAATTGCTAGTACCCCAATCTAGCTTGAACCTTCACATGCTTTTGTGTCTTGCTACAGTCTATGTGAGTTCATTTGTTTATCTGTCCAGTTGTATCTGGAATACACTTCTTCCTTGGAATCATCTATTACCTCTGGCTCCTAGTGTCTTCCTGTTTCCTCTTCTCAATAGCTCCCTGAAAATTGAGGGATGATTTTCATGAAGCCATCCATTTAGAACTAATTATTACAGAGTCTCAAAAAGAATCAGAGAAAATATAGGGGTCAGGAACAGCACAGGAACCCTGCCCACAGAGAAGCTGACTGGTACTCATAGGGGCTCACAGAGATCAGGGAGCCTGTAGGGGGACTGATGCAGGCCCTATGTATATGTGTTATTGCTAAGTAGCCGGATGTTATTGTGAGATTCCTATCAGTGGCATCTCACTGATTCTTTGGCCAACTTATGCTACCTTTTCCTCCTGCTGCTGCATTGCCCAGTCTTATAGTAGCATATTATTCCATGTTTGGTAGATATTCCTAGGAAGACTGATCTTTTCTGAGGTGATCTATAGAGAGGGTAAATCTGGTGAAGAGATGGGAGAGTCTGGGGGAGGGCAAAGACGGAAAAATATGGTCAGGGTATAATATCTGAGAAAAGAATAAAAAATACTAGGAATCTTGAGCAATTTGAATGAGAAAAATGTTGACACCATTGACTCCTAGATAGCCTTGCTATTATATTGCTATATAGAGAAGACAGAAACCTTGGGACATTATCATTATTCATATTTACTATGTTATCAGGAAACATCATACCTGTAATATCTTCCCTCAAAGAAACATTGTCACATCTGGAAAAAAAGAAGTGGAATGAAAAATGTAATTTGAATGATCATATATGGCATTATAAAAATTATTGAAAGAATAAAAATTCAAAATATGTTTTAAATGTACATATGGTTTAAATATATGATAGATATCATGGATTTTTGAGAAATATTTCATAAATTGAGTTTTCATGAAAGCAAATGAAAATACAGAATGATTTTCTACATTATTTCAAGACCAGTTTTCACTATGGTGTTGATTAATATGATATCATCAAATTCACCACATTGTGACAGAGTAAAATATACAATTTGGGAACATGAAGAAATTGGGTAAATTTGACAGTTGTTAAAGGATTAGCTTAGAATTTTTTAAATGGAAATCTTTTTTACTAGAAAACTGCTTTTCTTTCTTTCAGCATAGGAGAGCATCTGTTAAATTGTGTACCATATTTTTTTTACTAACTGTGATTTAGTTATTTCTTCAGGAATGTTGATTTTCTGTTATTATATATACTCTATGCTTTCATTAAGAAAGTATTTCAAGTGTTTTTGGTTATATGACTTCCATTGTTTAGGTTATTGAGAACTTAGTGTTAAACAAGGAAGAAAACTTTATCCCAAAGTATGGTTATGAAATGATTTGGTTTTCATAGATTGTTTAATGCATATTTATCTTCAAATATATTTACAGAATATTTAAGATATCATCTCCATATCAAAATGGACCCCCCCTCTTTCTTGTCAAAGTAAATACTTCCAAATGATTCTTTACATTACAGCCATTTTGCTGTAACAGTAAGATAGGTTGGCTATAGATTTAAACTGTGTTTCTCATACTTAATCATTTTTGGTAAGGCTGTGTCTCTTTTGTTTCCTCTTTTCAATAATCAAGCTTTTATGCCTCTGCAATATTCAATATTGTCTATTTCCTTAGATTCAGTTCTACTCTTCATTATGTTTTCTGATTTTTTTAAAGTTTAGTTTAATCTTCTTACAATTTTTTTTGTGACCCAGAAGTTCATAGTAAGTTTGCTTCATATCTGCCACCCTTCTCCATGTAGAAACTGAAAGGCATAAACTTTCCCCAAGACCTACTTTTCTTTTTTTTTTTAAATCTGTTTCTCTCAGTTCGTATTGTCATGAATATTATGAAGTAACTCACGAACAAGACCAGGGAGAAGGTGAAAATGCAGCTGGACCTGAAGGCCAGTGCCTCTGAAGAGGAGACACTTTCAGATCACTACATCATCCTCAGGACCCTTGGCAAAGGGAACTTTGCTGAGGTGAAGTTTAAAGCCAATACTTACTCAGAAATGAAGGAGGAAATGCTGGATCCCAAATACCACCTCCCTACACACTTTCAGAAAACATAACAAACATCATTGGGCAGTTGTTCACTGTGAAGCCTGAGCAGAGGCCCAAGATATATGATATTAGGCAGCAACAGTGGCTCAATGAGAAGGAAGAATTTTGGAAAATCACTCCGTCTTTACAGGCACTCTGTAACAATCTGAATTCCAGTGTTTTGGTGGCTATGTGGAGTATGAGCTATGACCCCAAGGACATTAGGGCTTGTCTACATGAGAAAAAATTCAATAACATCATGGCTACATACCTAACTTTAAACCACAAGTCACCCAGTGACCACTCTAAATATGCTTCAAAGTTCTTGAGGGCCTGTGTTGCTGTGTCCCCAGCAGATACTCTCACTAGTGTTCCTTCTCAGAGGAGACTGAGTGAGATTGTTCTTCCCACCTTGCTGGAGGAATAACAGGCAGATGATGAGAAGGGATCAATGAAGAAGAGGATGAGAAGCCTGAGCATGCCTGCCAACATGTGCTGCCAGCAGAAGGGAAACAATCGTCCATCTCCAGAACCCAAATTTTCCCATAAGATTACTTATGTCAAGAGAAGATGTTTGGCACTGGATAGCATGATTTGCAATTGCTCATCCTCAAGATCTCTGTCCTCTGGGAGCATTTCTTCTGCAAATTGTTTGTCCTGTGAGTCATCCCAGGAAGTGAGCATCCCCAACAATAACTCATACACTTAGAGTACAGGAAATTACAGGGAGGTCCCTCACATTATGAACACCACTGCCACATATGACATCTGGAGAGAATCTCTTCTGGCTACATCCAAGACCAGCTTTGATAAGTATCTCCTGAAGGCATACCTGAAATCCAGATTTCTTGCCTTCAGGCAATATCAAAGAACAGCTTGGATGATGCCCTTCTTGAAGGCATACCTGAAACCTAGAGATCTTTCCTTCAGGCATCATCAAAGACCAGCTTTGATGATGTCCCACCTGAAGACATAACTGAAATCCGGAGAACTTCCCTTGAGGAAACTTCCAAGAACAGCACTGCTGATATCATTCCTGAAGGCATTCCTGAAATCAGGAAGTCTTCCCTTGAAGAAACATCCAAGAACAGTTGTGACAATGTCGCTCCTGAAGGCATCCCTGAAATCCAGAGATCTTCCCTTCAGCAAACATCTGAGAACAGCTTAGAGCATGTTCCTGCTGAAGGAATATTTGAAATCCAGAGATCTTTTCTGGAAGAAACATCCAAGATCATTTGTGATGATGTCTCTCCTGAAGACACAACTGAAATCCGGAGATCTTCCCTTCAGGCCACATCTAAGAACAGCTTTGAAGAAGTCCCTCCTGAAGACATAAATATAGCCTCTGTCAGCCCTTTATCCAGAGGCTGGAAGAGGGTTAAGAAGAGAATTGGAAATTGTCTGAGATTACTATGCTGCTGCATGCCGACCTCCAAGAGAAACCATTTTTCTCAGAAGGAAGTAGAACCAGTGGAAGTGGAGAGCAGTGCAGTCTCACACACAGCTACAGGGGGTATCCAAGATGCACTGCTGTGTTTCTTAATCTATATATTTTCTAATGTCCTATGCTACCATCACAAATGATTTAGCTGAAGGTATACAATAGAGGATGAGAGGCAGCAGTTGCAGAGGCAGCAAGAATTAGTTGAATAGGAAAGAATAAAAGGGATCAAAGGTTTTTTTGGGAAGAAAACTCCAAAGGCTAGGGAAGAGTGTGAGAGGAGGAACCACTTGAAAATGGATGGCCCAGAAGGAAATAAAAGTCAAATATATGAACTATATGTTTCAAATTTATTCAGACTGTGTTTTGCATATGTCATTATATTCTGAAATGGTAAGTCTCTATGAAAGTTGAGACATAGGATAGGATTTGCATGGAGTGACTGAGACAGCTGAAGTGGGAGCCCTGCAGGAAGTCCAGATGACAGTGTGTCCACTAACCCAGGAGAGAAGTCCAGCACAAGAGAAGGTAAGCCATTGTCTACCACAGGATTCTCCATAGAAAACCACAGTTAACAAAGCTAAGTCCCATGGATAGCATTTTTATCAGAGTGAAGTCTTGTGCCAAAATCAACTCAAAAACTGCACATGGATTAGAAGTCCCAGTGGGCCAGTCTTCATGGATGTACCACAGCCATACTCTGTGGCCTTTCTTTACCTTCAATATCAGGTCCAAGGGAGATGTTTTTTTCACAAAAGGGGAGAGGTGACCCTCCTGCTCCCTCTACCACCCTTCCCTGCTGTCGTGTTTGCAGCCTGCCTACATCCCATTGCCTCTCTCATCACAGGAGTCATAGTTATACAGCATGCTATGACTGAGCCCTTACTGTGGGGCATTTGTCAGAACCTTATTTGTCTCTGAACAGGAAGGTGACAGCAATCTGGTAGGAAATGGGTACCACTGTGGATGGAAATCTGGGATATTGCTCCATTTTGGAAGGTGGGTATTGCTTGTCTGTCTTTGAGCAGAGTAGACAAATGATTTAGTCCACAGTCTTGGAACTACTTTTTATTCAGATCCCATATAAGAGGGCAGACCTAAAGAGAAACTTATGACTATAAACTTGGAACATTCTTCCAGGCTGGCTGTCCTAATGTGAAAGTTGTCTTTTGTGTTCTCTTGGACACACTCCAGGCACATCACTGCTCTCTACAATGAAGAGTAGTCACTCAGAAGGGACTAAATGCCAGGGCTCAACTGTTGGCTAAAGGCAGCACTGAGACCACCAATCTAGTCCTGTTGTATAAGAGATGTTTCTATGATCTGGTCTATCCTTGACATTGTTCTATAAACAAATAAGTGTGATACTGCCAAAGTCTGAAATTTTCAATTCCAAGGAAATGGTCATTGCACTCATGATGCAGAGGGCAACATCATAATAAGAGACAACACGGCCTTGCATTGGGAGGGATCTTGGCATAACTGGTGACAATAGAGCATCTTTCCCCTATAACCCTCTATCCTCTAAACTTTATGGACAAACAGTTTGTGTAGAAAGGGTGAACACCTTCTTACTGCTATATGGTAGGTCATTCAGTCTGAAACTGGCCAGTTACTTACTCTGTACTGGGCTGAGGAACCCCAATCAATCAGAGTGGACACAGCCTTGCAAGGAAAACTAGCACAGAGCTACTGATCTTCTTGCTTATGTGAGCGTAGCTATTCTACATCACTGGGTGCTTACTAAGGCTAGTTTTTGTCCTGATGTACTTTACTGAATCTAGCTCCTGGGAAAGAGAAACTTGGGTGTTGTGGCTTGGTTAAGATAAGCCAGGACAGACAGCCTAAGAAAATCACTGGCTACAGACCTAGGTGCTGGTGCTTAAGAAGACAATTATCTCAGTATGAACAGATGTGATTATTATTTATGTTTACTAGCAGTTGCCTTGAGTCTGATAGGAAATCTGTGTGTCCCTGCTATGAAAGGTATGTTCCTACCTTTTGCCTTTTCTTCTGAGAGAGCAGAAGTCAGATGAGGGCCCCCACCGCCAGCACCTCCCTCCTTCCCTGTCTGTCACCTGGATGGAGCAGGAGCAGGTGCAATCAGTAGCATCTACTTATAGAAGGACCTTCATAAACGTCATCCCCAAACTGTCCACAGGTATCCTACTCACAGAAGACAGAGATGAGTCCGTGAGATGCTCTTTTGGACATAATGTGTTGGTTGGGACATTCCTTAAGTTATACCCACTGTCCTATTCACACTGCCACGATGACCATTTTTGTATGGGTGGGTCACATGGATCTCACAGGTCAACTTCAGATCTCTTATTTACTATCTTTTCTCTCTTAATATTTGCAGGGTCATTTGGAGAGGATCTTTTGTGGAGGCTCATTTTCACCATGTATGTATACTGTCTAATTCAGACAAGAGGACGTGAGAAGGGGAGCAAGAAGCAGAGTGCCTATGTTTAGACATGTTTCTGGGAAAATACTTTATTCCTTGACTCCTAGATCCTGATTCCTGCAAAGTACCAGGGCAACCATAAGAAATTATTCCCTAAAATCAGACATCCCTGAAAGGCCCTAATGTTGTTGGCCTAGGGAAGGTCATATTGGAAGGCATCATATCTGACTTTAGTCCCTGAATACATTAAAAGTAAACCTGCCAAGAACAGAGATCTTCTGTTTGGGGAAAGAGAAACTCACCCAGCTTTTACATTGGTTTATAATATTTCTTCTCTTCAGGTGCTCAGTCACATCCTGAAATATATACCAAGGGGATTCCTGACCAGAGGATCTGCACATTCAGTGCTGATGCCAGTGATAAAAACCTACCAGGTAATATCATGAGGTCCTGAGGATCTCAAGGGCTTCACACAGTGGACATACTGTGGATGGCAATAATGGATGTGTTAATGTGGAATCTCCACCACACTGTGAAGCTGCATCTATTTTATCAGTGCAAAATGGCACTCATGCCTTTCTTTCTTCACAGAACACCCAGGAAACCTACCTCGACTGATAAAAACATGTCTCAGCAGTGCATCTTGAAGGCAGTGGACATCTCTACATGACATCTCGACTGGAATGCATGGGAAGCACTGTGTCCATGGACCCTGTTTCTCAGGCCACCAGTAACATGGAGATGGTACACCTGCTTTCATCCACTTGAACTGTTTCTCACTGGTGTTGGATAGAGACTATGTACAAAAGAACAAATACTAAAGTATTGGAGGACAATTCTAACAGATATTACACTAATTGGCATTCAGGGCACTTAGGATGTCTGAGGAATCCAAAGGAATATAAACTTCCAGACCCCTGTTCCTCAGTAGCAGTCACTGTTGTTAAGGTGACAGATCTTTCTTCAGATGGACTCAGAAAAATGCCCATCTGATTCCCAAACACCAAATGCAAAAACCAACTGGGTCTAATCCAAGAAGAGCTGGCTCTGTACTTCTCGTTCTATAACATCATGCAAAACCACAAATATCCATAAGGTTTGACAGGGGAGGAACAGTGACTGGACACAGGGAAACAAATCCCAGCAGCAGACCCACCTAAATCACCCAGGAAATCAAGGCAGAGAAAATGGTCTGTCCTAAAGGATGGCAGGACAAGTATGCAAAAGCGAACAATAAGGAACCCGTTAGAAAAATGAACACAATCTCTAATATTACAGCTGACTCCAGATCCAAACACTGCAATGTTCATGTAAGAGTTAAATAAGAGGTCTGCGTTAAGTTCTGCTTCATATGGAGGAAGACCAGAAACAACAGAGAAGATGAATTGTGGTCACATGAATTCTGAAACCATGAGTCAAGAAAATACAGAAACTGGAGAATGGCTGGGGGACATGAAAACCTATGACATCTAGATGAAGCTTGGACCCTGTCCCACCCCAGAAGACAGCAAGATGATGGTTCGTTCAGGGCTGGGGAGCATGAAGGGAATGCTGGGCAGACAGGCTGATGGGCTCTGCTCCCCTCTCTTTTACACCCATTTGCAGCACAAGATTACTGCATGAAGATTTGGACTAGAAGCAGAGTGATCAATATCAAGAGCTGGGGCCACTTCCAGGTCTATCTGCTTTGCTTTTGGCTCTCAAATACCTCAGCCCAGTATAAGAGGGAGATTGAGCATTGGAAAGACATAGGACTTGCTGGAGCTGGTAAGTCTCCATGCTGCTGCTCCTGGAGCCCAGACAGCCTAGAGCTGCACACTCCCCATGCCTGTTCCACACACAGTACTAGATGTCTACCCATGCAGAACATGTCACCCTCCTGCTCCCCTGCAATGAATATATCACACACAGACTCTGCTGAATACTCCACATTTCCCAAAATTGCTAGATGTTAGGGCCTGATACAGAGCTACAGCCCACAATCCACACATACATTTGGAATCAGGCATTACCTGATACTTTTCTTTACCAGCTCGCACTCATATATCAAAGTCTACATACATTACTAAATATCACTTCAGGATGCCCCTCTCCACAACCACACACAATAGTAGTTAAGACCTTACAGATATGTCCCCTTCCAGCTGCTATGCTCAAACATCCTTGCTAGTAATTGTCACCTGTTGATATGGTGTCCCCTTACACCTCCCCAAATACATTGGGTGATATTAGAAGCAGCTCCCCAATAGCCCCATGTAGTTTTCTCCATGTCAGGCCTTGCTGGATATCAACTCTGAAGCACTCCATATAATCTGTTCCAAATCCTGTTAGAACACCCTCCCCCATTCCACCTGCAGAACCACTTCTTAGGTCACACTGATCACAAACTGTACCTCATTGACATTCAGTGCCCACTGATATTTCATAAGTCATGCAGGACTGTTCCCTAGAACAGCCTTGCAGTGCATGTGTGATGGAAGCAGGTCAGTGTATGTGAGCCTGTAACAGCCAGGGAGGGGATATCAATCAGGCCTGAAAAATAGAAATGAATATAGTTATCATCAATGATATGTGTATCAAGGCCTCATACCTACAATTTAGAAGATGGGATGCTGGACAGTTTGCTACTCCTCTTCCACACTTGTAGGAATGAGGCCCTGATCCACACACCATTGATCCCACCCATATCCACTGCTAGTAATCCAGTCTTTTGATGGAAATGGAACTTAGGCCATGTCCTGCAAAGCTTGACAACTTACACAATATGTGGGCTGATGCCGAGCAGGCCAGACTGTCATGATGCATTGTGTGGGAAGGACAGACAGTTTTCAGGGCCTAAAGACTTCCGTTTTATCTGTAGTATCAGGGAGAATAGGGAGTTTAACTGGGCATGTTATTATAGCACTGTATATTGTGTGACCACGGGGAGGTGGAAGTGTTTTTTGTGGCATGATAAGGACTGATAACTGGGTGGGATGGAGATGAGCTGTCCAGCTGAATCTGATAATAGTGCTGTATTATATGGTACAGTCTGGTTGGAAGAACAGCAGAACCTGATACCTAGATACTTGTATGCTCTATGCATGCTCCTCCCTCTGTTACCACCTCACATATAATGTTAGTTTAAGGGCATGAAGGACACCCCTAACCCACACTCACTACCTAGTTTTTCGCTTAAGCCTAGGTTTCCATCTCCCCTTCTTGTGTTCTACACACAATTTTAGATTCTAGACACAGCTAGACATCACTTCAAACACAATGACAATGGAGATATTTTGAAAGGTATCAGGACACTCCCACCTCCTGTCAAGGGCACACATTAACACTTGGTTAAAACACTCATAGCATCCTTCTGTGTTGACATCCAAAACTAGGTATAATGCATTGTGGGACACTATAACCATGCTACCCGAGTTATATTGCCAGCTGTCAGAGCTTCATGTTTTTCTCCTACAGCATATACACAGGCACACAGGCACCACACCACCACCCACTCCACCCACACCCCCCACCCACCCACTCACACACACACCTGGCTACCATTTTAGGCACCACTCCCCTACAAACAACCCTGCACACATAATAAAATGTCAAGGCCAGCTATATAGATCTATACACATACACACACAAATACACAATCCCTCAATCACACACATACAAACACACAGAGCCCCTAATGCACTTCTAATTCACACATATACTCACACAGCTTCCAATGCACTTCTAATTCACACACACACACACACACACACACACACACACACACACACAGAGAG